TTGCGAGTTTCATTTCTATATTTTGTTATAGTCAAAACATTATATTGCAACTTAAATCTTTAAATTTTACATTAGGATGTCAAGCCACATACGCATCAAATTGTACAATATGGGAGTGATCCAAAATGAGGGCATGTCATCCTAATCTTCCTTCCTAGCAAGAGAACAATTACATCATCCATCTTCTTTTAGTAAATATCTAAATATCGTCATCATCTGTAGTCTAATGTATATCATTGACCACATTAATGTCAAACGTCCATCGTTACTATCAAGTAAGGTTCTATGCCCACTGAAACCTTACTGTAATACCATCAACCACGTCCATCTCCGCTATCAACTAAGATTCTACATATTCTGACACCTTACTGTACTAAACTTTTAGAAATTGACTATCATCTACTATTGATCGATGAGATTATTGTTCGCAACACCATCAATCACGTCCATCACCTATATCAACTAAGATTCCACAATCATTGATACCTGACTCTAAACTTCTAAAAATTGACTGACACTTACTATTAGCCGAGGAGATTATTGTTAGCAACATCATCAACCACCACTAAGAGTGTTGTTCATAACACCATCAATTATCACTGCAAGAGACAACTCCTACAACTAGAGTCTTCACAATGTAATACTATGTCGTCCTTCGATCACCTAAACAATGAATAATTATAATCAATAATTTATTTTAATATAATCATTTTAATTGGACTGGACCTCATAGTTTTTCATGTAAGCAATTCAACTCATAGATGTGTATGTGGTGCACTACTTATTTTTATGTATGCATAATATTTATATAATCTTTGCATGCCAAAATCTCTATAATCATGAATAATACTACAACACAAAAAATTGGTATTTCAAAAGTAAGAAAATCCCTTGCATTTAATTCTGAATGCATCATACCTTACAAAACTAAAAAGATTGAAGGAATCTAAGAAACACAAATAAAAGACACCAACGTTTGCCAACCAACTAATAGCACCTCTCCCTCCCCATAAATATGAACACATTATTCAAATATAATTTAAACATAGCAATGATACTCCTGTAAAATATGAAGACATTCTTAAATTATGTGTAAAACATAAAAATGATATTATTCCCACTACCAAAAACATGAAGATTTCGCAGTCTTTTTTAGCAGCGGTTTATAAACCGGTGCTAAATCTCTGTTTTCACAGCGGTTATAACCGATGCTATATATGAGTTATGACGCCCATTTTTACCGCTTTTATATTAGCTTTTTTACGACAGTTTTAGCCGCTGATAGAATTTGCTCTTTATTTCTCCCCCGTTCCCTAGCCGAGCCATTCGACCTGCGAGCGCCTCGCGCGTATACGATTCCTCCGGCTCATCTTAGTTCCTTGTAGTCGCTCGTTGAAATGTCTGACGTCGTAGCCTCCGAATCCTCATCCACGGCCAAATCCACCGGCGCTGAGGTATAAATCCATTCCCGTCGCCAAATCTGTCATCACCGATAAAGTCCGGTTGCCATTCTGGTTCTCGGTCATAGGTAATTTCCAACTTGTCTTTCATTTGCTCTATTTTTGTTGTTCCGATCGTCATTTTGTCGCTATTTTTTGTTGATCCACTATATACATAAACTAATATGAATAGGTTTGTAAATAAGTAGCCAAAAATTATTTTATTTAAATTCATTTATTTATTTTCTTATTGAATTTGTGAAGAGATTGACCATAAGTCAGAATTTTTAAAATTTTGTTCCATATTAATTGCTTGTTTTCTTATTAAACTAAATCACAATAAAAATTTTATTGAATCGATCTTACTTATTATCATATTACTACACATTTCAATACATAAATTTAATAGGGTTGAAATAATTCATTAAATATTATTTATGTCATTTGAAAAGATTCAAATATTTGTTAAATAATAATATTATTTATTATTATTATTATTATTATATAAGTATAATTGGTATATATTATTATCATTTTTATACTCAATAATTAATAATATATATAATAAAATAGGATATAAAAATATTATCATTTGATTATAAAATACAACATTAATTAAATAAGCAATTAAAGCAATCATTAATTGATTATTTTATTGAACACTTAACAACCTACTTATAAAATAGTAAATCAGCATGTACTAACATAAATAAATTAACAGTATAAATATAAATCAAGCTTCTAAAATTTTGTCCAAACTTACTAGATTAAATAAATGTTCATAAAAAAACTCATTTGCATGAGTGTCAAATTGTTAATCAAATACGCTAATCTATAGAACCAAATAAAATAGTAATAAGAGCCCTAATGTCACACATATAAACTAAAATGCCAAGCTTTAAACTGTAACTATATGCATTAGAAATAGTAACATTAAACAATTTAATAGAATTTTTTTTTTGTCATTATCAATATAGAAACACATTATCCAAAGATTACTCTTCATAACAACCATTACATATGAAAATCATGGCATTCAAGATATTAATCGAGCTTATTGATAAAACTAGAGAGCGGGTTGAAGGTAAACTTGAATTATGAAGGTCAGTCTCAGAGTGTAAAGGTTTTCATTTGAGTAGATCTAAAATCGAATATATGAAGTATAATTTTAGCAGTAATAGATCTAGTGAGAGGATTGTGACTTTGGGCGATCAAGTCATTAATAAGAGTATGCATTTTAGATATATTGGGTTTATTGTTCACAGAGTTTGTGAAATAGATGAGTATATTATTAGTAGAATTCAAGTTGGAAGGTTGAAGTGGAGGAATGCATCGGGCTTGTTGTATGATAAAAAAATCCCCCTCAAACTTAAGGGGAAATTCTATAAGATGGTGGTGAGACTTGCAAAGCTTTATGGTCATGAAGAATATTGGCCATCAAAAGATAAGAATAATATTAAGTTAAGTGCTGCAGACATGAGGATGCTCAGATAGATGAGTGACCGCTTTACTCTTAGAGACATGATACGAAATGAGCATATGCATGAAATTGTTGGAGTAGCAGCAGTGGAAGATAATATTAGAGAGAGTCGCCTTAGATGGTTTGGTCACATAAAAACGACAGCCTTCTGATGACCCGGTTACGAAAGTATAAGATATATTAAATTTGACTTATGTTAAGGTAGGTAAAGGTTTACCTAAAAAGATATAGTTAGCAAATATTAGAAATTATATTTATTATTAGATTTAAATGAGAATATGACTCTTAATAGGACACAATAAAAAAAAAAAAAAGGATTTATGTATCCGACCCCACGTAATGGTATAAGGGCTTCATGTGTTGTTGTTGTTGTCATTTGATTTTTATTAATAGTATGATGCAATGTGAATCCCAAAGTTTTTAATTACTACGTGAGAGTTTTCTTCATCGGTTATCATTCTCTAACAAACTAAAATTTGTTCATATCATCACACGTCAAGCAAAGTAATTGAATCAACCATACGAATTCATCTAGGACTGTAAGTGAGTTAAGCCTACTTTAGAGTCGGCTCAAACTCAATTCGATAAAGGGCTAATCAACCATGTTCGATTAGCTAATGAGTCAAGCTTGAATTAACATCAACTCGAATAATTAACTCACGGGCCAAATCATTTAAAAATAAGACTATTGTAAAATACACTTAAAATATATGAAACTTTAGAAGTTCAACTATAATACTAGTTTAAATATTTTTAAATTATATTTCATATTTCCTATCAAGTGATTCTTTATTACTTATCTTCTAATTGTTCATTCTTTTTTTAATTTTATTATAATAATTACTTCAATTATAATCATTTTCTCTCTTTCGTCATGTATTGGCTTCCTAGAACTCATAGAATTAAACCTAAACTCGAGCTCAAGCTCTATTTGTTAATCAAGCTCAATGCAGTGGTGACTAGAGCATGGTTTGGCTTATTTACACCCCTAAATTCATCTTTAGGGGCAGGTTATGTGCTTTTAAACTTAAGCATGATATAAGATAGCTAACAGCCATATAAGCCAAAAAATTCAAATGAACCACTACATCCAAATGAATCAATTTTATACACCCACTTAGGGCATCTCCAACCGAACGCTAAACGAGTGTATGGAGTCGTTCCGTCGCTCCAACCGAAAGCGAAAATTTTCGCCATTTAATCGCAGATGAACAGTGCGACACCAATATTGGCGTCGCACTGTTCACTCACGCCATTTTTTGCTCTCAACCGAAAAAACGCGCGAAAGGGAGAGCGATCATTACCTTCTCAAAAAAAAACCTAAAATGGCGTTCGATTGGAGCATCACCGTGCCATTTTGAAGTTTTGCTTTACATTGCCGTGAAAAATGAAGTTTTCGATTGGAGATGCCCTTAGACTTTGTTTGGGACGACTTTTTTACTGCTTTTTAAAAATAATTTTTTAATACAAAATTTTTAATTTTTAAACTAAAAAATCACTCTAAGAAACAAGAAAAAAAACCATCCCAAACGAAGCCTTAGTATGATTTTAAGAAGCATAAGATGATGAAATTTGGGTTAAAGTCCAAATTATCAAAGGTTTTTTTAACAAGAATTTGGAAAAAAGAACCAATTATTTAAAATATTTGAATCAATGAAAAATCTATCAAATATATTTTTTAAAATAATAGAACTGATAAAATATTCTTTAAAAAACATGCGCATAGCTTCAAGCTTTTAGAGCAATATTTCGACCATAAGCAATATTAATATCTAAAATTTATTAAATCTGATTCTCAAAAACAAAAAAAAAAAGTAAAAATCCAGTGAATTCGCTGGCACAAGCTTTAAAGCAGATCGAAGGGCTATGAACTGCCTCAGCTTTTCAGTGCAACATAATCCAGAGCCTGTCGTCTAATCCCTCAAGATTCGCGCCCGCGGTACTGCAAACGGTGATCCGCCGCCACACTACCCGATCCCACTCCCTAATCCCACCAAAGCTCCATTCCCAATGACAAACTCCAATACTCCATCGTCGCCTAATACGACGACTCACATGCACTTCGCCCACACCAGTAATCATTTAAAAAAAAAAAACCAAAAATATAATCTGCATTTTAAGGATAAGAGCCACAGCTACAAAATTACAGTCCTGTTTCTATTTTCCAGCTCTATTTATTACTTACAGAGCAAACAAAGAAGAAACTTTTAGGATGAGCTCTCCGAAGTAGAAGAAATGCCTCTTTTGTCCAGTTTCTTCATCTCGATGCTTAGCTTAAAAGAAGCTAACTCAGATTTGTTTTTAAAAAATCGCATCACCGATTCCCCAAATCTTTAGCTCTGAACTCCCACTTCCACCAGATTCACACTGAGCGTTACACGGCAAAAAAGATCTCAACTTGAACACTTCTTCCAAAGAAAATCAGTGAATGCGATGATTATAGAATTGCCCTGCCATTGGCCTTCACATCGCCGCCGCCGCCGCCATCCCAGGTCTTAACTGGTGACGAGCTTCGACCACTGCTATAGGCTTCGAGTCCTCCCCCGCCGATAGAGTTGATAAACGCCGATAGACCGCCGGCGTTCGCGCCACCGGACGGACCAAGTCCCAGGAAGTCCAGCGTCGCAGCTGGTTTCGAACCAAAAAGGGCGGCTGAACCCATCATCATATCCGGCAGCCCGGCGGCGGCGCAGCCACTATCGTAAGGGAGACCCAGCCCAAGCCCAGCTGACATCGATGCCGGTTCAGGCCACTGGGCCTCCCCACCACCACCAGCGGCTAAAGGAGAAGTCGAAGCGGCAAGGCCAAAGCCACGGAGGAAGGAGGAACCTGATGCCGCGGCACCCATCTGAGCAGCTTTCTGCAGTAGCGCAGTGGCCGACATATGAGCTGAGGGCTGTAGCGCAGGGAATTGACGGCGATCTGGTGCTGGAGGGAACAGAGATGAAGGGCCATTAGAGGAGAGGCAGAGGGAAGGGGGTTCCACTTCCGGCCGGCTCATAGAACCGATGAGATCCGAGAAAGATGTTCTTTGCGTTGCGACCGTGGATGCAAAGAGGCTGCTGCTTCCGCAGCTTGTGGTAGTGCAGCTGCTGTTGCTGCAATTCATGGACATGGATACTGGCGCCAGCGGCGGCTGGGGAAGGTATTGGAGAATTCCTGCGGCGTTTTCCGGCTCTGAATAAGAACAGAAGACAGATGCGAGAATAAAGCAAAAATCTTTTTCAATAAAAACACAAATTTTAAAGGTTATACAGAGAAAGGGGATTGGATAATAGTATGCAATGATGCTTTGTAATAACTTTCGATTCAATTTGATTCATGCATGATGAATCTCTTTTATTAATCTTCACCAACTCGCTCTCTTTTTAGAGTTCAGGTATAGCGAAAGCTCCATTCAAAAAATGAAAGTGGAATATGTAAAGTTTCAATCAGAGCGGCTTTTTGAAACATCTCCACTACAGAAAAAGCAGATCGAGGCAGAAATCCCACTATCCCTTTTCAAAAGTCTAAAACCCTAATCACCCGCCTCTTATCTTCTACGAAGAAAATTAACTAAAAAGGAATTAGCAAAGACCACCATTCCCTGTTTTTTATTCACCAGAGCAGACAAAACACTACGGAAAAACCCTCTCCCCAGACCATTGCTGTTTTCACTTCCCTCCAAATAAAAAATGGGCATCAAGATCCCAGATTCAGACTAGTCCAAAAAAGAAGAAAAAGCGAGCTTTTAATCTGCCCAAAAAAGAAAAAGAACAAAACCTTTCTGATCCGACGGCGGCGGAGGCGGCGCCATCTGCTTCTCTTGCAAGTTTGCAGGCGCCGTCACCGCCAGCTTTGACTCTTTCTCCGCCGCTACCGCCACGGCGTTCGTCTGCGTCCTTGCGCTTTCTTCCGCAAGTGCGTCGCAGAAAGCGCGGTGTGTTATGAAGCTATCCCTCCTGCAAACAAATCGCAAACCAAATCAGTGAATGGAAACTTAACTAAATGAAAGAATCCAGCGGAGTATTGTGCTTTGACATTTTTCTACCGTGAGAATAGAGTTCCACAGTCGCAGCGATACTCCCTTGTTCCGCAAGTCTTGGCGTGCGCTTTCCAGTCGGACTGAACGGCGTACTTCTTCAAGCACTTGTCGCACTTCCACTTCTTCTCGCCGTGTTTGCGGCAAAAATGCTTTTTAATACCGGTGAGATCACCGAGAGCTCGAGAAGGGTCGTGGTGTACGCAACTGGGTTCTGGGCATACATAGACCCTCTTCTTCACCTCTTTCCCTGTTCGCTGCCGGAGCTTCCATGGCAAGTTATGCCCTCGACGGTGAAGTTGTAGATTCTGGTCCCTCTGAAACCCTTTATTGCAGATCTCGCACACGAATCTGTTCGTCGCCATTAAAGTCTTTGGAGATAACGCAATAACTTCCGCATCCGGATCTAATACAGGAGAAATTTAAAAAGACGATCTTTCCAGCTCAAAAGAAGAGGAACGAGTATCCTCTTGAGTGTCTCGGTTCATGCTTACCTGGCATTCCGGGAAGATTCCTCTTTTTCTTCGGCGGTGGCAGAAGGGAAGCTGCTGCCGCAAGATGGCCGGACGAGACACTAGTCTCACCGGAGGCAGAGTTCGACATAGTCATAACAGAGGAACCCTCAAATTCTACCGGCATGAGCAGCTAAAAAGTAAAAAGAGCATGAAAATTTTCAAAATGGAATCGCAACTCAGATAATGGCCTCTAAACTCCTAATTCTCATGCCAGAAGAACGCTCTCCTCAAGCAGAACGATCCCGTTTTTATTGAAGAAACTCAAGCCCCGCGCATCTCCGGCAATCAAGCTCAGCTTCTCTGCTCCGGCCAAGGCTCAAATCCGAACTCCGACTACGACTCACCTTCTTATTCAACTTGCGGCCGCCTGAAACTGGCCACTGGCGGTGCGAAAGAGAGAGCTTTGAACATTAGAGAGAGAGAGAGAGGAAGTAAATTCTAAATAGGACTAAAAAAACTAGAGGATGAAGCGAAGAAGCAATGCGGTGTGTTAACCGTGGTGCAGAAGTATGGTTAGCTAGACGGTCAAGGTTGGCAATCACAAGAAATCTGACCGTACACGTGTCTCGTGACGATAGATCGAGCAGCGCGCGGCATCTGCCCCGGACTCCCCAGGCTTAAGTGTCGACCTTCCTGCTATTGTCGTGTAGCGCATGGCGTGACTCGACCGATCTCCGTCTTTTTCTCGAATTTTCTTACATTTTTTTATTTCTAAAAATTTTTAAAAATAAAAAACTAGCATATTAAAAAATAATATCGATAGAGCTGAAAATTTTCCAGCTTTATTATAAATATAATAATATAACTAAAAGCTTAATATAAGTGTTGAATTCATAATTATTCAAAAGAATATTAAATACAAATTTAAAAAATAGAGAGAAAAAATAATCTTAGAAAAAAATTAAAAGATTTATTTAAAATATATTTGAATTTTAAAACGACATAAATGAGCTCATATGTGGGCCCCTTATTTATAAATTTGAATTAGAAATTAACTTTTATGGAATTAACTTTATAGTTGATAATACATTAAATAAGAAAAAATAAAATAATTATTTGGACTAATGGGAGATCTGATTTGATTAAGTTGTTTATCGAGCTCCTAAAAATTTAATAGCTTGGAGTGCATTAATAGCCGATGAGCCATTGAAATCAATCAAATTATATTATATTTTAATTTGGCTTAACCTATCTTGATTTAGGTTTTGTTTAGGACGATTTCTTCCTGCTTAATAACATTTTAGTACATAAAATTTTCAAACTATTTTTTTTCTAAAAAACTTAAAAATCAATAAAAAATTGTCCCAAATGAAACCTTAATTTGAATTTGATTGAAAAAATTTGAATATTTGGATGCACAATAAGATTATATAATATTTTAATGATACAAATTAATTATATTATTATCATTTCATTGAAATCATGATATAATTATTAGATTTAAGAACAATTGGGATAAAGTCAAAATATGTTGCTCTTAATTATTAAAAAAAGTAAACTAGATAAATATTTATAAAATTTGAAATTACTTATTTTTTTATCAAAATTTTAAATTATAAAAATTTTCATATAAAAGAAAATTAATTTTAAAATTTATTATATTTGCACTTAAAACCTCCTATAAAATTTTTATTTATTTCTATTATTTTAGTTTGTTTTATTATAATATTTCGTTTAAGATATTTTGGCATGAGCTTGATAAATATTGTTTTAGTTAATTAACACAAACTTAAATGTCTGGATAACTTGCTACGCTCCCCCAAACATAGTACAATGTTATAGCAGCTTCTCCTATCGCCACGTGTACCCGCGTGGAAATTATGCCGGGAGACATCCAACTACTTATAATTAAACATGTGCGGTAGCCTGTGAATGGTCAAGCAATCCAATATCGTCCGACGTTCCCTATGTGGAATGAATTAAGCGCTGCATAGATACTAATGAGCTTAATTAACTTTTAATTATCATTAAATTAAAGGTTAAAAGAGTTTTTAAGCAACATTAATGCTCATTTAACTAGCAGGACGTTGATGTTTAGCGAGTTGTTAAGTATTTGAACCTCTAAGATGATTGGCTGGGCTTGAATCCGGCCTGAACCAACCCCTAAAGGAATAATTGAAACTTGGGCCGAACCGGCCGGCTGGGCTGGTTCTTAAAACTAGCGGTGTCAATATTTGACAAGGCATGAAAATTCGATCCAAACCCGATCCGAAAATTTCAGGTTTGACCCGGAACCTCTAAGATGATTGGCTGGGCTTGAATCCGGCCTGAACCAACCCCTAAAGGAATAACTGAAACTTGGGCCGAACTGACCAGCTGGGCTGATTCTTAAAACTAGCGGTGTCAATATTTGACAAGGCATGAAAATTCGATCCAAATCCGACCCGGAAATTTCAGATTTGACCCGACCCGTTTCCAAACCGGGTCGGGTTCGGGTTCCCGGATTCGACCCGTTTGAAAAAGGGGTCGGGTTCGGGTTGATCCGATCGGTTGTCGGGTCAACCCGAAAACCCGTTTAAAACGTCTGTCCGGCTGCTTGAGTACCTGCCCAGCCTGCTCGACCCCTGCCCGGCTGCCCACGGAGCTGCCCGACCCTGCCCGCGAAGCTCCTCGTGCCTGCTAGCACTCTACCGCGCACCCGAGGCTACCCGCTCGCCTGCCCACACGCGCCTGCATGCCATCACGCATGAAAATCGCAGGCGCATTGGTTACCCCAAAAGGCATAACCAAAAACTCATAGTGCCCGTACCGAGTACTGAAAGCTGTCTTCACCACATCAGCTTCCTTCACCTTCACCTGATAATATCCGGATCTCAAATCAATCTTCGAAAATACCGAAGATCCGGAAAGCTGATCAAACAAGTCGTCTATCCGAGGCAAAGGATACTTGTTCTTGATCGTGACCTTGTTCAAATCTCTGTAATCAATACACATACGGAGTGTACCGTCCTTCTTTTTCACAAACAGAACAGGTGCTCCCCAGGGCGAAACACTAGGACGTACAAAACCTCTGTCAACCAACTCCTGAAGCTGAAAGTTCAGCTCAGAAAGTTCTTTCGGTGCCATCCTGTACGGAGCTTTCGATATAGGAGCTGTACCCGGAAAAACATCGATAGAGAACTCCACATCTCTATCCGGAGGTAAACCAACCAACTCCTCAGGAAAAACATCAGCAAATTCCCGTACCACAGGGATCTCAGAAACAGAACCAACCTCCAGGTTCAGATCCCGCACCGAAGCTAAAAATACCGGACATCCTTTCTTCCACATCCTGCTCACCTCCAACACAGAAACCAGACTGGAGAGAACACCTCGTAATCCCTGAAATACAACTCTCTCTCCAGCCACAAGCAAACTCACTTGCTTCTTCAGACAGTCTATCTGAGCCTCATACTGACTCAGCCAATCCATGCCCAGAATCACATCATACGAAGAAATCGGCAATCGAATCAAACTCGATTTCCACTTCTTGCCAGAAATCTCGATCTCACACAAACAAAACTGTCGAGCAATCAATGGATTCCCCGCCGGTAAAATCACAGACAAAGAAATCGGTAAAACCATCGAATCCAAATGTAAAATCTCAAAACAATGCTCGGACAGAAAAGAATGACTCGCTCCAGAGTCAAACAAAACACGACAGGGCTGATCAGAAATGTAAACCGTACCTGTCACAACATCCGGAGCATCACGAGCCTCCTGCTGACTCAGACTGTAAACTCGTGGCTGAACTGGAGCAGGAACTGAAGCAACAGAACTACTCTGCTCCCTCTGAATCGTAGGTGGTCTCCGCGGTGCAGAACTAGAACCACCACCTCTACCAGCAAATCCCTCAGGGCGAGGAGGAACAGTCCTCGGTCTTCCTGCTGCTGAACCAACAGGTCTGACAAAGCCCTCAGATCGCTGCTCAGAACGCTGATCAAATCCCATCTGCGGACATTCTGCAATCCTATGTCCCGGCTGACCACATCTGAAACAAAGACCAGCTATCCTGTAGCACTGGCCATGGTGTCGCCGTCCACAACTCTGGCACACAGGTGCCGTACTGACAGATCCAGAACTAGTCGTACTGGTAGCAGTACCAGACGATCCTCCGCTCTTCCTGGAATCTCCAGATCCAGATCCAGGAACAAATCTCCTCTTCCCAGAGGAACCACTGCCAGATGTCTCTCCTCCAAACCTCTTCCTACTCGCAGTCCACCGCTGCTGAGTAGCCGTCATGTCATTCTCAATCAGACGAGCTCGCTCCACAAGCTCAGAGAAATCAGTAATCCGGAACGGTATCAGAGGCTGCCTCAAAGTGTCTCGTAAGCCTCTCAGAAATCTGTAGCACCTCTCAGCAGACGTGCTAACCAGCTGCGGAGCGTACCTGGCTAATGCAGTAAACTCAGCCTCGTACTGCATCACCGTCTTGCTCCCCTGAACAAGTCTCAGAAAACTCTCCTGCATCTGCTGTCGTGCAGAAGGGGGAACAAACCAGTCCCGAAATACTTCGGTGAACTCCTCCCAAGTAATCAAAGAGTTCAATCTGCCCTGAAATCTGGCTGCTTGCTGGCCATCCCACCAGTGCTCAGCCTCACCGTCCAACAGAAAAACAGCTAACGGAACTTTCCTGTCTGCAGGACACTGCATCCCGTCAAAAGTCTTCTCCAATCTCCTCAGCCACTCCTCGGCTGCTCTGGGCTCAACAGCGCCCTCAAACCTCGGAGGCTTCAACCTCAAAAATAACTGCAGGTGTCGATCAATGTCCTCAGATCTAACAGTCGAAGTTCTGCTCTGAGTCTCGCTCATCATCTGAGCAACAAGTGAAGCAAACTGTGAAAGCGTATCAGCACCGACCACTGGGGCTGTACTCCCCACTGGTGCTGCCTGATCGTCACTCTGACCGTCTGTCATGTCTGGGTCTGGCTGATCCATACAGAAAAATCCAGAAAATCCGGAAAACTATCACAAAACAACACAAAATAACACAATAAAAAGCCAAACGACCCAAAACTACCTCCTAGACAGACTCACTGATCACTTCCTAGAGCTCTGTTTTACAATTCAACCTGTTTCCAAAACCAGTGCTCTGATACCACAAAAAAAAGCTTTGTCACGACCCGACCCGACGGGGACGGATCCCGCCCGAGCCGGATCGCGACGAGAGACCTTTCTTAACCAGGATCTGGCTTTGGATTAGGTTACTGAACTGATCTTTCAAATTCTTAACTCAACAGAAGCACACAGAACAACAGAGCTACTAAAAACATCAAATGCAGCGGAACAAAACATCTATCTTTTCATTTCCTCAAAATAATCATCTACAGAACAGTACATGGCTTTCAACAGAAAGAAAGACAGAACAGAAAAGCCATGACTGTACAAAAATCAAAAGTACAAAAGTACCTAATCTGATCAGACTCTGAAACCTAGTCCTGAACTTCCTTGCCCTTCCCAGAACCTGAAAACCACCAGAAAGCAAGGGTGAGCTCAACAGCTCAGCAAAGCAACAAACCACCAATCTAAATTCTCAGAAAACAAAACCAAATTCATCGGACAGAAATCAGATCAGAAATCGGAACAGAATCGGAAATCAAAACTTACGGACAGATATCAAATCACATCAGAGTCGTACAGATCGTATCAGAACAGAACAAATCAACAGAGTCAGAATCAGAAATCAGAATCGTACGGATCATATCATATCATAATCACAATTTCGTACAGAACAGAACAGATACAGAAAATAGTACAGATACATATAGCTAAATGCCCTGACACTGACGGAATCTCTATGGATTCCGGCCCCTTATGCCTCCCTTCCCAGACACTGACTGAATCTCATAGGATCCAGGCCCCTTATGTCTCCCTTTGTGCTCACGGCACCAAAACAGATGTGCTTATAGCACCAAAACAGAATTCATCGGATCCGGAACAGAACTGATTTCAGAATTTCAGATTTGAGCTCATTTCAGATTTCCCGTTTCACTAACTGAATCTCATAGGATTCAGGCCCCTTATAACTCCCTTTTTATAGCTTATACACATAGCATTTCAATTCAGAAGAAATACGGACAATTCGAAAATTTCCCAAAAATCGGGCAGCACAACGGCAGTATACGGAATTTACACAAAAATTCCTGCAAAGAAAATTTACCGAATTCGCACAGAATACAGATATCAACATTTCAGAACATTTATTCTACTGCACAGATAAATTCCAATTTCACAGAAAAATCTGGTCGACTAAAAACACAGTCGAATCAAAAATACCCGGACGAAAATCTTCAAAATATAGTCAAAACGTGCACACCCGGCACGGCAACGATATACAAAAAGTTACGCGGTAAAAACTGAGCCAATCAACAGATACGGACAAAAATCATTAACGAAAATGAAATCCGGACAGAATATACCGCCAAACACGACGGTTCTGAAAATTGAGAAAGGCGGAATGTGCCTTACCTCGAGCACAGCAATTTCCTCAACAGCCACTTCGGACGAAAACGGCTCCGCGTCGTCCGAAAATCCGCTTTTCCACTTTTTCCTTCGTTTTTCTCTCTCCTCAGCTTTTTCTCTCTCTTCAAAATATCTCATTTCTATATATATCCAAACTGATCGTCCTGGACGATCGAGCTTCGTACCGGACGATCCATGAAGAGAGGAATTTCGTCCAGACGAAAAATGACATATCGTCCCTGGCGAAGGGTTCACGGGAGAATTTTCGTCTAGACGATCCTGATTTCGTCCAGACGAACCATACAGCCAAAACTGATTTTCTGCACAACCTGTACCGATCGTCCCGGACGATCCAACTTCGTCCCGGACGAACCTGGAGCAAAAACTGATATTACAGCCATCCCGATATCGAATCCTGTCGTCCCGATGACATTAGTAGTGCTTGGTGTATGCTTTTTTTTATGATATTCTTCTTGTTTATAAGCTAGAGAAGGAGTTGATGAAAAACTTGACTTATGGAGTTCAACCTTAGAGTATAACGGATTTTGTTTGAGTAGATCTAAAATCGAATACATTGAGTACAACTTTAGTAATAATAGTGAATATTTTATAAGAGGATTAAGTAATTAAAAAGAATGCATGTTTTAGATATGTCGGGTCTATTGTTCAAAACTATGGTGAAATAGATATGAATATTATTAGTAGAATTCAAGTTGGATGACTGAAATGAAAGAATGTATTGAGCATATTGTTGGTAGATATAATTTATTTAGATAAAACATATTGCTTAGAGGTTTGATGGAGAAGTATAGAAAGAATAAGAAGGAATTACATATGATTTATTTAGATAAAACATATGATAAAGTTTTAAGAGAAGTACTCTAGAGAGTTCTAGAAAAAAACAGTTAACAAAGCTTATATTTAAGTCATTAAGGATATATATACAATAGTTAGTAGTGTTCAAACATAAGGTGGTTTAACCAAATATTTTTCTATTTCAGTTGGATTACATCAATAATCATCTTTAAGCCCATATTTTTTTTGTTTAGTCATGGAGATGTTCACTAGATATTTACAAGAGGATGTACATCCACTAGTAATAAGTTAATGTTTTTTGCAGCAATTTATAGCAGCGGTTTGAAAACCACTGCTAAAGATAGGTAAAGGCAGTGGTTAAAACTGCTACTAAATTCACTATAAAAAAATTAATGCTTTATAATATTTTGTAACAGCGGTTTAAAAACTGACAACTAAGACATCCCCCCTGCAAATCCACCGTATTATCAATCTCGCCTTTGTTGCCCTAGCCGACCATATTTGACTACTTCTCAACCGCAACCTTCATCTTCATTTCTCGTCGGATATCATCCACGCCGAATCATCTAGCCTTGACGCTGAAGCCACCCATCTCGACACTGAATCCTGCCATCCCGATGTCGAATCCTATCGTCCCGATGACATTAGTAGTGCTTGGCGTATGCTTTTTGTTGATGCTATTCTTCTTGTTTATAAGACTAGAGAAGGAGTTGATGAAAAACTTGACTTATGGAGTTCAACCTTGGATTATAACGGATTTTGTTTGAGTAGATCTAAAATCAAATACATTGAGTGCAACCTTAGTAATAATAGCGCATGTTTTATAAGAGGATTAAATAATTAAAAAGAGTGCATGTTTTAGATATGTCGGGTCTATTGTTCAAAACTAAGGTGAAATAGATATGGATATTATTAGTAGAATTCAAGTTGGATGACTGAAATGAAGGAATGTATTGAGCATATTGTTGGTAGAAAAATTTACCTCAAACTTAAGAAATTTTTTTATAAGTAGTTGGTCAGACCTACAATACTTTATGGTGCAAAATATTGGCCATTAAAAGAGAAGCATAAAATTAAGTTTCATAGGGATGAGGATGCTTAGGTTGATGAGTGACTTTATACTTAGAGAATGTATGTGAAATGAGTATATACATGAAAAGGTTGGAGTAATTCTAGTTGAAGATAAGATTAGAGAGAGTCGTCTTAGACAATTAGATCAAATAAAATATTGCCCTTTTGATGGTCATGTCATGAGAGTGAATGTATTAGATCCAGCCTATGTTAAGAAAGATAGAGGTATACCGAAAAAACTTAGTTAGGAAGTAATAAACATAACAATTTTTAATAAATTTAAATGAGAATTTGACTCTTGATAAGACACAATGGAGAAAAAGCATTCATATAGCCAACCCCATGTAGTGAGTTAAAAGCTTGTTATTGTTTGATATTTCAAAAAAAAAAAACATCATTAGTATAAAATATTTAATTAAAAAATATTTATAAAAATTATAATTTCTTTATATAAAATATCAAATAATGCTTGCAATCTTTATTTATTTTAAGATTAAATTTAGCTGCCATATATCTTTAACAAAATATTTTACAATAAAATAAATATCTAACAAAAAATTCATAATAACTTTTTAATAAGCTAATATAAAATTAAAAATATTAACAACTCAAATAACTCCTAGAAAAACTATTATTTTTAAATAAATAAGCTATTTAGAGAAGAGAATTTTGGCTTTTGTTTTTATTTAATGCTTCAAAATAATTTGTGGACGGAAATACCCCCAGTGAGAGATAACCACTTTTATTCGTGAACTATTTATTGATGTTTAAATATTTTTCTAACTTGTTCAAATTAATTTAAGGAAAGCATCATAAATCTTATGCATGGTTGATCCTCCACAACTCCCTTTGTAAACCTTTTAAGGGGGAACTTTATATGGTGTTTCCCTTCATAGATGCAATTCATCGTAAAGGGTTAAAGTAGTTGAAATAAGGTCACGGCGAATCAGAGAAGCAACATACGAGATTTCTCTAGAGATTTCCTCAATCATTCTCAAGGCTTTTGAAATTTGATGGGATCCGCCGGTTATGATTCACTTTAAAACTGGTTTCGCATAAAATCTATATTGACCTTCTCAAACCGGTCCTGATTTCTGATAACAAGCCGGTTCAGCTATAGTGCCGTTTACGAAGATCTGATGGATGAGATTAATGAAGGCCAAGCTTATACGATAGAGAAAAAAAAATCTACAATTCATTCAAATGTATTGTGTATGTTCCAGTTCGGTGTATCTTCTTCTTGTTTTGGGGTTTCTGCACGTTCGGGAAGCCAACACCATCTTCTGCTCGTTCTGGTTTGTTTCTAAGCCTACAGTTGCAATAAATGAAGTCAGATTATTCTGTGATAGCTTAGAAAGCTTTGGAAAACCAATTGCACTGACGATAACGAAAGAAATGCATCATGATAATTCTTTTTTAATGTCAATATGTGTATATACTTACTCAAATATGCGTACTTACTAAGCTCTCTAACTTGATAATATGCATATGAGTGGTGGAAGATATTTAATTGGATCTAGTCCAAACTTCTAAAAAATATCTATAAAACTTATAAGCTAAACATCATCTTCATCAGGATGCGAGAGAAATTGAAATATTTTTTGAGCAGATCCACTCAAAGAGACGGAATTATTTGGAGCATCAAAGGCTCAACGATCTTGTATATGTTCGGTATAATTTAAATTTAAAGAATATATATAATCTTAACCTAAAGTTAATATTTACAATATATTAATGTACCCACATACGTAGAGATGTTCACAGGTAATACAATCAATATGTCAATCATTTCATAATGATATTTCCTCATGGTGCTTTGCATCTTGGTTTCTTATCATATGCATGTCCCACCGACTGCATATTTTAACATGTTGAATCTAATATTTTCCACGGAAATATACCAAGACTCAATTATGATTGTAAATAAAGCCCATGAGTTAGGTTGAGAGAGAGAGAGAATGAATGTTTATATGTTATCTTAATTGATTTGACTTTATAGTGGACTCTATTGACCATAAAGAAGTTTGAGCTAAGCAAAGAGAGAACAAATAGTGAGAATGTATGGTTTCAGTTGAACAAAGATTGCTCAAAAGTATATATATATATATATATATATAATGTAATCAGCTATGTAGCAAAGTTTTTTTTTTTTTAGTTTGCTCAACCAAATGGTTACTATCCTCCTTTTTATATATGATTTAGAACATTATGTTAATAAAACCTTTTTGTAAGCTATAAAATGATGGAATTTTATATTATTTTCATCAAGTTGGGCTCATTTAATAACCGATATCTTTCTCAAAAATACTCTTCAAAGGCGATTATAGATAATACAAATAGGTTAAAGTTTGGCCTGTCAGCACCACACTTTGTAGCTTGGAAAGTCAACTCACATCCATCCAACATACTTTAAGACTACTTAAATTTAGAAAATATATCACCAAAAACTTTTGAATTACATTCTTTGAGAGCTTTTATAAGTCATGGGATGTGGATGCGGGAAGAATCTTTGATAATAAAAAAAAGTTAGTTTGACTTGGTGTAGATAAGGGATACTTGATTGATTGATAAAGGAAGTTAGACTTGAATTATATATGATAGAGAGTCACTCTGCACCTATTAGGTCAAGAAACGAGTTATGTGCAACCTACAACGAGCCATATATAATGATGCACTTCTTTATTTTTCTTGATGTAGTTTTAACGGTAGGCTTCAGATTCCTATAAATAAGAGGTGAAGATGTAAGCATCTCATCTTGGTTTGTTAGTTGAGAGTTTTGGCTATCAATCAAGAGGAATTGAGTTCGAGTCTTATATATGTGATGTGTGTGTGAGTTTATCTTAATTAGCTTAATTAGCCTAAATGTCCTAAAAAAAGAGGTGAAGAGGCAAATTTTGAATATTTTTTTGGGAGCATTAGTGACTCGCTCTATCTTCTCATAGACTAGTGTATCTTTCTCTTATTTTCCCTTTCCTTTCTTATTCATCAATTCTCAAGTTCTAGTCCTTGAAGATTCCCCGCTAATAAAGTCGAGTGTCATCTACAAATATATATATTTATAATATTTTGTTCCGTACAAAAAATATAAATTATAATATGGGAGATAACTATAAAAACAACCAATTTTTATCAAAATTAAAATTTCCCCTTCCTTTCTGTGACCATTAAACCAAAACAAAAATTCTATAACTGAAAGGCCAAGAATAGGCTGAGATATTGACAAAAGAATATAAAAATTCAAGTGTGGCTCATCAACAAAATAAATTTAAGGGGTCTAAACAAGTATAAGGAAACATACATAGAGGTTGTTGGGATCACAAATTTTATAAGAGGTGCATAAAATAGTTAAGATTATCTATTTACACCAAGGTTCTATAATAAAAATAAGTTAAATCAGTTGAAGAACAATAAACATTTTAATTCTTCTAGCAACAAGGTGAGAAATCCCATTCAAATTACACCCAGAGTATTAAACATTATCATCAAACAAAGGCTTCCCTTTAGAATTTAGATCACATTAAAATAGGTTTGGAACCCTATCCAGCTTTCTTCTTATTCTTATTGTATATCATATCACATCATAACCTTAAATTTGGGGTTAAATTATAGAAATTAAAACTAAAGCTTCATTTTAGATATCTTTCTTATTGCTTCTTAAAACAAATTTTTAATGAAAATTTTAAATTTTTATACTAAAAAACTGTTTTAAAATGCAGCAAGAAAGTCATTCCAAACAAAACCCAAGACATTCAAATCACATAAATAAATATCTTATAATTCATAGAAATTTTTGTATAAACCAAAAACAATCCAATCTTGAGTGAAGACTTCTAATTAAGGAATCAAATCATTCTTAGTCATTCTGATTAAGAAGATTGTTATTCAATTTAAAGGTATTTAGTAATATAGACTATTTTCAAAATATATTGTTAATAACAATTAATTTCAAAACCTATAAAAAGTTCTTTTTTATTTTATTTTTTCCAAAATTCTAAGTAACATACATTTAAAGTAATGCAAGAGCTATAAAAGGTTAAAAGGTATTCAAAAGTTAGAAATAGCTCATCTATTTGCAAAGGCTTATAAAAAATAAATATTAATGAAATGAAATTGGAATAGTTAAAGAGAATATGAATTCCAGGAAAGGGCAAAGAAGTTCAAATTTTAATTCAATAGCCAAACCACAATGTAATAAACCCTTCTAGAAAGCATTCTAAGGGTAATCTTCTTTTTAAAATATGAATCAAAATGTTTATAAAATTAAAATGTCCTTAATGACAAGTGCTAATCTTAGGTCATATACATCTATTATCAAATTTATCTTCAAATAATTAAAAAAAACGAAATTAATAAATAAGAATTAATTATTCAATATTTTTAAATCTCCTCATTAATAATCTTCTCCTTAAGTAAAACTCACGAAATTAGTTCTTTCTACTCAAAACACAAAGAGATGCTTTGAATCACTTTTTAATTTTTACTTTTAAAAAATATGTTTGATTTTCATTCTTTTTGCTATTTTTATCTTTTTTTAATCCTTAAAATAATTTTTGGAACCTTTTTAGATGTTCTTTTTTTTTTTTTAATTAAAACTGAAGACTTCCAATCATAACTATCAACAACCACCACCACCAACTTTTATAGTAGTCAATAAAACAAAAAGAATACTTATTTAAAATGTCCAAAATAATTTTCTTTCACATTAAATATAAATAAAATGATATAAATATAAACTAATTATAAATGAACTCCAAACGTTTCAACACCATCAACTCCCATGCACCAAAAATTCATTCAAACAAATAACATAATAGCAAAAACTCCCAAAAAGCATAAATTACGTAAATCACTCGAGCTTCATTAGGGATAGCTTTCTTACTGTTTTCTAAAACAGTTTTTAATACAAAAAAATTCTTGAACGAAATATTTTTATACTAAAAAACTGTTTTAAAAAATATTTAAAAAAATTATCCAAAACAAAATCTCAATCTCAAACAAATAAATATACTACTAATTCTTACCTGTGAGTTGGCATCCAACCATATCATCACTTACATGTTTATCCCTTATCGCAATATCTTCTTTAATGGGAGTTTCTTTATAGGCACAATACAAATTTTTAAAACAAAAACTTAGCATATTATGTCACCATATAAATAAAATGGTAATTTATATATTTTCTATGTTGATTTCTTATTATTGAAATGTTCAAGTGGAAGTTCCTGCGTCTGTGTAAAAAATATTGAAGGCTGGAATAAATGAAGAGTTCAGTACATGAAGCCATATGTAAGCACCAGAGACCAGTAGGGGGGGCCTTGTATTTCATTCAATTCAAAGCAAATATTTAATAAGATTTCAACAGGATTCCCCGACCAACCTGCCATCCTAAATTTACTATAAATGCCATGTCCCTTTCAATTAGCTTTTTTTTTTTTCAGATTCCAGTTTTCACAAATATAATAAGGTCATTTGTTCTTCAGCTTAAACAAGTCATGTGGTGTATTGTCTATACTGGCAGTTATGAATATAAAAAATATTTCTTCGAAGTGAAAAGCTAGAAGAGAGTCTGACCTGCTGAGAATTAATTGGCAGCAAATGCGAGGCTTGTAATCTCCACACAACGAGGATTTGGTTCAACCACGTTCAGTTTTGTCTTACAAGTTCCTGTACCTGAGGAGTTTTAATAGGTTTGCAAAACAGTATAGTTTGATCGGTTCGTTAGGGACAAATAAAAAAACTATCAACTCAATTTAATGATAAGGATATACCAATACACTTAGGCTTCGTTTGGGATGTGATGTACTAGGGGTGAGGTGATAGGCCCACTATGGAGATGGAGGAGTTGATGTTTGATCCAAAAGAAAAGTTAACCAAAATCAAACGAAATAAAATAAAAACGGATGATGAATGATGGAGACTATAGATGAGAGGACGGATAAAAAAAAATAAAAAATAAAAATAAAAATGATACCAACCACGAGCCCGGACTCTTCCTGCGGCTGGTGGGTACTACGTTGCCCTCCCCGAGGGACTTCAATCCACGAGCCCGGATCTTCCCGCAGCTGGTGGAAACAAGATTGTCCTCCCATATAAGACTTTTCCTCTCCAGAACTCACACAGAGATCAAGACAAAGGCTCTAAATCCTTCTTTTTTTAATAATCCATCATCTTCTAATACAAGAGCAAAAGCATCTATATATAGGCCTTAAAAGAAATTAAAAGACAATTTTGCCCATTGGGCTTACATAAAACAAATCCCTTAAGGGTAAAAAAGAAAAATGCATAATTAAATAAAAATTACAATTAATAAAATAAGATAAAATGAAGGGATCTCAGCCGTCGATCTTCAACTTCTGCTCGGATAAACATGGACGGTTGGATGTCCGCATTAGGATGGCTTTATTATTGCTTTTTAAAGCATCTTTTTAGTATAAAAATTAAAATTTTTGTACTTAAAAGTTGCTTTAAAAAGCAGTAAGAAAGCCGTCCCAAACAAAACCTTAATATTTTCTCTAATAAGACAAAAGAGCAAGACAATGGAACAAGAAAGAAGATAACATCATATGGTTTTGCAGAATATAATTAAACTAACCTTAAGAAAATGAGTAAAAGAATAGCATCTGCCATCGCCTCATTACATTAAGCACTCTTTGGAAACATTTGATTGCTTGTGAGGATATATATGAGAAGTTTGAATTTTATATTAATATTTAAACATATCATACTACAACACAGAAACAAGCATTAACAAGTAGATGGATTAGTGAAATAGATAGTTAGCCACCGTATTCGCCTTTCGCATACATGTTTTCGGGGTAAAAAACTGCGACCGCCTGATTTCCATCGAACTTCCTTCCATGCAATCGTAATCGAGCTTTTACAGCTCCATTAATGTTGTCATATTCCAAGAAAACCTAAGGAGAAAACACAAAAACTTAGGTAAGAGAGTAGTAACAAGAATGTGGCTAAAAATTTAGGAAAAGGCATAAGAAAAATTTGAATGTAGGCCGTAGATATTGGTATTTACTATTATAGGAAAATGAGAGATTAAAAAATTGTATTTTTGTTGGCATATTATATGCTCATAATTGAGGATATTACCTCTTTACTATCTCTATTTATATTCATTTTAATTATCTATATGCATATGCACATTGATGAATAAACAATACACAACAAATATTTTCCTCTCCAACATGATATCAAAGCTAGGTTAACAAACCTAGCCACCATACCCCGCCTCTCCAGGTCATTAAGTTATCTATTTCTTCTCTTCTAGCCCTAACAATATTGCTCGTGTTGCAAGAACAAAAGGTGGCCATAGTTCTCATGCGCATGGTGGCAACAACGATATTTATGGTCATGATTGTAACTCTTTATCACCATGTTAGCATTTTCAATTGGCCAATCACTCATATAACTATTGTTGGGCTAAGTTTGGCTATCCTCTTATGCCCAACATGTCTTTGGCTCTAATATTGCCAATCCCACTAGTACTTTTGGCTCAATGACCATTTCCCAATAGGACTATATGATCGTTTTCTGAACTATTTTAATATTCCGTTTATCAATTGTCGTGACTGTAACTGCAACTGCTCATTCTGGTACACCTTGAGTTATAGATTATGATGGTTCTCATACACACCTCCACATCTTATTATTCTTGATAAATCTACTCTGATCACAGGAAAAGGTTTGCTATATGTTCCATTAACATTAGACATTGTTACATGTTCATGACTTCATTCAACCTTTTTGGTCTTATAAATTGTCTAATAAAAGCAAATAACATTTTAATAACTTCTATCCATTTTATTATCTTTCAATGTTTCAACTTATCAATTAAACTTCCATATGATTCACCCTCTTCATTATTTTCAAAGCTTCACTCATGTCTCATTCTTTATTTTAAAATTTTAAACTGAAATTTTTTAAAAGACTTTCCAAAGGCTTCAAGTACTTCTAATTCAATATTGTTTCCTATCTGGATCCACACCGTAACATCACTTGGAATTCATTTGAATAGGTGCTTTATCCATCATGATTATTGTGAAAAGGCATAGACAGTAGTTAGCCTTGGACAAATTCCTTTGTTCAAATATGTCTATTGAAAAATGGATCACAAAAATAAAAATAAAAATAAATCTAGTCAAATCTGAATAATACTTTGAAGAGGCTAAAAATTTGGTAAAAATGATCGAGTTTCCTTCCTCTTTTCTTTCAATTCACATAATAGTGCACCTTTAGGTTTAGTTCAAACAGACATTTGAGGGACAATGCCTACCCATCTAGTTCTTTATTAGTTTATGTTCATTATTGATGACATCACTGGAGTTACAACGAGCTATTTATAGACGTTTCAAGCTTAAAACCTTATTTACATTCAAACTATTCTATCAAGAATAAGAAGTATATATTTTATTCAAATAAGGAAAGAGCTCTTTGTGCTAATAATGCTCTTCTCTATTGAAAATATTATATTATAAATCAATCATCCTTTTGTTAGACCGGCCCATCCTGGGCCGGTTGGACCGGTCCAATTCTACGCGAGGCGGAGACGGACGGGTCGGGCGGAAGGCGCGATCCGCGTGGAGCTGGAGGGGGAAAGTTAGGAGGGAAATTTTGAACGTGTGAAGCTGTTTTAGACTATATGATCGTTTTCTGAACTATTTTCATATGTCGTTTATCAATTGTCGTGACTGTAACTGCAACTGTCATTCTGGTACACCTTGAGTTATAGATTATGATGGTTCTTCTTATACAATAAGTAACTAAGAATTATTTTCATCATTTATCATGCCACACCTCCACATCTTATTATTCTTGATAGATCTACTCTGATTACAGGAAAAGGTTTGCTATATGTTCCATTAACATTAGACATTGCTACATGTTCATGACTTCATTCAACATTTTTTGTCTTATAAATTGTCTAATCAAAGCAAATAACATTTTAATAACTTCTATCAATTTTACTGTCTTTCAATGTCTCAACACAAAGAAGATGACTAGTTGAAGTGTTTGGTCGTATTTATTATCTCATTGGTAATGCTTGCCTTGCCTTATCATTGATTTCCTTTTATCAATGAAACTTCCATATGAGTCACCCTCTTCATTATTTTCAAAGCTTCACTCATGTATCATCCTTTATTTTAAAATTTTAAAACTGAAAATTTTTAAAAGACTTTCCAAAGGCTTCAAGTACTTCTAATTCAATATAGTTTCCTATCTGGATCCACACAGTAACATCACCTGGAATTCATTTGAATAGGTACTTTATCCATCATGATTATTGTGAAGAGCATAGACAATAGTTAGCCTTGGACAAATTCCTTTGTTCAAATATATGTCTATTGAAAAATGGATCACAAAAAAAAATCTAGTAAAATCTGAATAATACTTTGAAGAGGATAAAAATTTGGTAAAAATGATTGAGTTTCCTTCCTCTTTTCTTCCTATTTACATAATAGTGCACCTTTAGGTTTAGTTCAAACAGACATTTGAGGGACAATGCCTACCCATTAGGTCTTTATTAGTTTATGTTCATTATTGATGACATCATTGGAGTTACAACGAGTTATATATAGACGTGTCAAGCTTACAACCTTATTTACAATCTAACTATTCTATCAAGAATAAGAAGTATATATTTTATTCAAATAAGAACTCTTTGTGCTAAAAATGCTCTTCTCTATTGAAAATAGTATATTATAAATCAATCATCCTTTCCATATACATCTTAGCAAAATAGAATAGTTGAATGCAAACATCGTTATTTTCTCGATATTGCTCGCACTTTAATATTTCAAATGTAATTTCCGTGCTAATTTTGAGGGGATGTCATTTTTTTGTCTGTTTTGAAGACTAAAAAGATGCCAAATGAGTGGAAAATGAGTGTGTTAATTTCTATTTTTAAGAATAAAGGTGATGCACATGAGTGTGCAAATTATAGAGGAATTAAGTTAATGTGTCATACTTTAAAACTATGGGAGCGAGTTATGGATTATAAGAGTAATTTTGAAATTCTACTTGTTGTATATGCTCAGTACCGAGCACGTACCGCTCAGTACCGAGCATGTACCGCTCAGTACCGAGCCAGCACCGCTCAGTACCGAGCATATACTGCTCGGAATAGAGCATGTACAGCTCAGTACCGAGCATGTACCGCTCAGTACCGAGCATATACTGCTCGGTACCGAGTGTGTACCTAGTGGTACCGAGCATGTACCGCTCAATACCGAGCATGTACCTAGCTGTACCAAGCATGTACTGAGCAGTACCGAGCATGTACTGAGCAGTACCGAGCATGTACTGAGCGGTACCGAGCTTGTACCTGCTCGGTACCAAGCATGTACTGAGCGAACGAATGAAAGAAAGCCGAATCAGGAGTTATTCAAGCTTTCGTTACTGCACCTCAAAGTCAAGGCCACAACACCGCTCACCTGCTCTTCCGACCTAATCGAGGCCTGAACGTTTCCTGCACTCACAACTTCGGCTTCATTTCCTGCTTTCGAAATCGTTATTGCTTTTGGATTCGTTTCCTGCGTCGTCTCCTTCTGACTTCGTCTCCTGCACTCACGGCTTCGTCTCTTTCCCTCACGGCTTCGCCTATAGTTCGCCTTTCAATTCTCACAGGAAGCCCTAATCCTATACGCAAATACACAAACACGAATCGGCTGCGTCGTATTTACATATATACCGAATAAAAAATTTTGAGGCGGTGCCTCATACTGCCCCGAGGCGTTACGCTTTAATGCGTACGCCTTGTGCGAAAAAATCGTAGGCTTCGCTGGATGGTTTGAGGCGTAAGCCCTGATACGCATGACTTCCGCCTAGACTTGAGGCGCTACTCGATGTGGACGCCTCGTCCGCTTTTTTAATGGTTGGTACCGAGCAGTACCGAGCGATATCGAATACTGAGCGGTACCGAGTACTAGCGGTACCGAGCAGTACCGAGTACTAGCGGTACTGAGTTGTACCGAGTATCGAGCGGTACCGAGTACCGAGCGGTACCGAGTACCGAGTATTTTTTTAAAAATAGGACACACGTATGGGATACGCGTGTCCGATCAAATTTAAATAATATTTTAATTGGAAACGGCAAAGCCGTATCTGACACGTATCTGTGCCGTATCGGAGGCGTATCTGTATCTGACACGTGTCCGATACAGCATGCCTCATAAATAGGCGTATATGTGCAACATAGGAGTGTATTATTATTAGAAATATATGTTTTTATAGGCAAATGTAATCAATCAATAATACACAACAAATATATGCCTTCAACAGTATTCATATAAAAGGTTGCAACTTAGGGTAATAAATGTCATCTCCAAAATAAGGTAACGAAGAAAATGAACAATTTTCCTACAGCTTATTTAGTTGTTTGAAGTTAGAAAACATGTTAACGCATATTGAAAATCAACAATATATGTAGATCCAACACTTATTTAGACTTAATTAATACAAATCAACATTGACTTAACAAAAATTAATATAATGATAATGATTTCATTTACAAAATGAATGAAAAGAAAAAACATTATTTTTTAAAACATACATTTTATATAATATAGACTTCATTTAGCATAAGCAACAATAGCAAAATTTGAACCTCCTTATAACTAAAAGCAAACTCACCCTTCCAACTCCATGTACCACTTCTCCGTGAGGGCCTGGACGAGGGATGACAACATTCACCAAATTGCCTGAAAAACAAGCAATTTTCAGTTCTTAAATGAACCAAAAAAAAAAACAGCAAAAAGTACATCTAAATGTCATCCTAACAATTGAATACTTTCATGGGATAGGGGGCGAGAAAAGTTGCCCATATGTTCCACGCAAGAATTTACCAGCAAACTAAAGAAACACAAAGTTAAACAATCTTTAACATAACAAATCCATACCATATTTTCCACACTCTCCCTTCATGTCATCCAAAATTTCTTCGTATTCCTCATCATCTTTCAAATCATCTGCACTAACCACTTGAGTTAAGCAGACAATCTTTGTTGGAAGGGATCCCACTTGTAACGCAAGCTCCTGCCCGAAATTAGAAAATTTAAAAACGATCATAAACACATAAACTAATATTGAGCATCCAATGAACTCAACAAATTATTTATTGCTTACATGCAACACTTTTTTGCAAAAAAAAAAATTAAAAAAACACTGAAAGAAACTGTGAGACTGAAAACCAAAATAGTCAATCATGTGAAATTTCTAAGAAAAGCTAAACAAGCAAAACAAGATTAAACATGCCAGATATATGAAAATTTAGACTATTATTAATCCTATAAATAACTTAAAGTAGATTTAAATGCAGGATAGCCATATGCATGAATGATTCAACAACAACAACATCAAGTATTTATCCCACTGTGGGGTTGACTACACAAATCCTTTTTCTCCATTGTATCCTATTAAGAGTCAAACTCTTATTTAAATCTAATAAAAAAAGGTTATTTCTGATACTTTCTACCCAAGCCCTTTTAGATCTACCTCTACCTTTTTTAGCATAGGCCTGAGGCATGAATGATTCAAATTAGGCAAAAATATATCCCAAGAAGTTCTTATAGTTGCTAAGATCTACTTTTTTTATAGACCATGATAATATATATTTACCTGTAGAACAGCCTAAATCTTAGGGAGGGGCATCTACCGGTACAGGTGACACATGTGCCATCCATGCAAGTGTTATTTGGAGTTGGGTATCAATATGTATTTTTTGTGGGTGTTACCAGACTTATTTGCCAACTATTTGTGAGGGGGCATACAATTGTTCAATGGTAGGGAGGTGTGGAATATATAACTGAATGCACAAAGGAATAGTTTTGAGACAACTAAGTATTATGTGATGAGATGGATGCTCCAAGCCTCCAACCCAAGTTTTACAAGAATAATCAAAGAACAGCCATTCTAAGTTCAGGTTTAGTGAATCAATCGACAAAAAAACCATGTAAACAATTGCTGCAGTGTTCTTGGCAATAATTGCAGCTCTTGATTAAGTGTTCACATAACCAAACAAATACTAACCACGCGGATATAGTACATGTTAAATTACTGACCTCAACTAACTAAGAATCGTCAAAGACTAACCAGAGCGCTACATAAGGATAAGGGATTTGTACTAATTACAGCACATAACTCAATTCATGTGACTTCAAAATCTTTTTTACATGAAAAGAATAAAGGCTGAATTTACAATAAAAAAACCATTGATAGAGAAAAAAAAGCAATTTTTAAGTTTGAACTATAACAAAAAATTTGGCTTAAAATGATGTAATTTAAAGCATGCCTCAGTACAATTTAGTATTTGTTATCTTGAGGCGTGCGCCTCAAGATTTTTAGGAAATACATATGCTTCACATAATGTGAGGCATGCCTTACCTCAATCTTCATGAGGGGTGAGCCTCAAAATATTAAGGTTTTAGGCATTAAAAAAATCATTTTCTTACTAACCAACCATGCCCCCTCTATCTCTTGCTCTCACTTTCACACAAAGAAACCACACATCCAAAGCTCCTACAATCCTAACCTCTCAGCTCACATGTTCCAGCATACTAAACTCTTATTCGCCATCACATGCCGCTCCTTCCTAGTCACGAGTCACCTCCTTCCTAACTACTTGCCAAGCCTTCTTCAACAAGAGCCAAGGGACTCGTCTCTTCTCCATAGTACCTCTTCATATCCATAACTTCAGAATTTGGTTTTTTGTTTCCTAAATCTAAAATTTCTTATTTGTTTAGTCAGTACTTCTTTCTTGATAATTCACATGTTCAAACTTCTTTTCAAAATTAAAAGTTGTTAGATAAAAGTACAACGAATATAGAAAGAATCTGACATGGAGATAGTGTGTGCAAGTTAGAGGAAATGAGAAAACATATGTTTATCTAAAGTGTAACTACTGCAAGAAAGTTTTTAAAAAGGGTGTTACAAGGAGGAGCACCATTTTGGCTCACACAAAAATATTGCACAATGCGCTAAGGTGCCTAAATAAGTGAAAGAAAAGATCTGAGCATACATGAATAAAATAACGATGTCAAAGTATTTGACATGATGACAATTTGATAAAAGAATTGATGTTGATCTTATTATAGGAGCAAGCGTAGTGATGAATATTCCTCATCATCTTTGTCAACAATGTCAAGTGCAGGTGTGAAGGGACCCATAAATAAATATACGGTAAACTGGGAGGATAAAAAGCATCATGGCAAGAATGACTCCTAAGAATGCTAGAGAGCCACGTAGGCATATTTGCATCGATATTGAAATGTTCATCTACAAGATAACCATTCAATTTAATGTAGCAACATCCCCTTCTTATTTCAATATAATTCATTCCATAAATTCTTATGGTAGAGACCTAAAATCGCCATTAATATATGTTTGAGAACTTCGATATTGAAGGCGCTGAACAACATTGAAAAAGTTATTGACAAAATTAGAAGACTAGAGTCAAACTAGATTAGGGTATAAGTGAGCCGTAGTCAGCTTGCTAGCATGCTCAAATTGGACTCATTAACAAGCTCATGAAAATTCAAGGTCGATCTCAGCTAGACTCAGTTGATAAGCATATCTACTGGTTTAAATTAAAATATATTTTAAAATTAATCTAAAGAAACATAATAAAAGATTTATTAAATAATTTTAATTATTTCTGGAGTCAAACTTGAACTTTCAAAACAAGCTCAAATAATCGAGCTTAAGCTCAAGCCTAATAATTTTCAAATTGAGTTCGAGCTCAAAAAATGAGCTTGAGTTGAGTTCGAACTCAATAAGAATTAAATAAGTTCGAACTCAGTAAGAATTAAATAAGTCAGGCACGATTAGACAGATACTCGACTCGATTCGTTTACACCCTTAAACTGGAGTAAAGTGTTACGCCGGCCCATCCTGGGCCGGCTGGACCGGTCCACCCTGGACCGGTCATTGCCTACAGGAGGCGGAAGGCAGAGGGGGGGGCGGAAACAAGTGGGTGGGCCCACTTGGTGTTAATTCAAGTTAGGAGGGAAAATATTTGAATGAGGGGTTGTTTAGGTATTTTGTATTAATCCTTTGTCTTTAATTAGGTGTTTTGGAGGGATTTGGAATCATCTTGAGTTTGAATTATTTTGAGATCTAGGTTTTGGTGTCTTGGGCTCTTGGCTTCGCCGGAGATCTTTGGGAGAGTTTTTCCTTCCTCTCGAATTGAAGGAAAGTTGTATCTTGCAAGTGCTTTTCATCCGTTATCGAAATAAAAGCGTTTGTATTGTTTTTTCCTACGTTTTCCAACGTTTCTTCTCTGTTTTTGGCTGTTTTCCTGCTGTGGACAGCAGTTCAACCTAGATCTACTTGGGTTTTGGTGTGAAACACGTGGAAATCCAAGTGTTTCCTATCATAAAGATCATGTCTAACAGCTAATTTGATATAAATAATATATGCTTCATCAACATTTTAATTAATTATTTATATGGCACTACTTTCATAAATCTTTTGAAGCTGTTGAAATGTCAAGCGTGCATGGTATATTTTTGAATTGTTTGATGAAGTAATAAATAAGATTGGAGAGCATTTGATGGTACAAGTTGTGACATAATACTAGTGCTTATAAAACAACTGGGAATAAGTTGGAGAAGAGAAATCATCTGTATTGGACACCTTGTGTTGCACACCACATAGATTTAGCTTTAGAAAAGCTTGTTGACTTGTCTCAGCATAAAAATATTCAAAGCAGAGAAGAATACCAAATTTACCTACAATTATTCCTAGGTTTTGACTTTTACGAGAAATTTTTTCTAAAAAATAACTTATAGTCTACTACGAACAAATTTGTTACGGCTTATATGACTCCATAGTGCATGTTTAAAGCTAGGCAACCTTTAGAGGCTAAGTCTACTTCCATATAATGGCTTGACTATGCTTGGGTAAAGAATTTGAGAGAAAAAGAACTTGGGAAGATTGTTCATAATGAAATATTTTGATTGGGTGTTACATATACAATAACAAGAACAAAGACATTAGCTGTTCATATTACAATATCTAAACTCATTTGATGTATTGTAAAATTTGTGCCTCACCTCAATTGCTAACCGTTGTTGTGCCTGCAACAAAACAATTTCATGCTCCGGCCTAGGCTGTGTACTTCCCTGGTTTGCACGTCTGACCGTGAGTGTTTTATCACCCATCTTTATACCATTAAGAGCGGCGCATGCAATGTCCGTGACAGAAAGATCTTGGTAGACACAAAAAGCATAGCCTTTTGAATTACCAGTTTCCCTGTCCTTGACCAAATCAAAGCCTCGAAGGGCCCCAAATGATTCAAGCAACTCTCGCACCTGCGCTTCAGTGAAATAATATGGGAGTCCACCAACAAAAATACGATCTGGCCCCTCAAGACCACCGGCTGAACCTGGCATCAGGCCCACAGCAGAAAGATTAAGATTTGGATTAGGTTGGCTTGAGCCGAGTGCAGCAGCCAGCGAAGGGATGTAGTCGCTTGGCCTTCGAACCTTTACTGGAGCTCCCTGCAGTCACAATAATTTTACAGGCCACATATAATGCTAGTATATGTTTTTGAGTGTGTGGATGGATGGGTGGGTTGGGTGATGGACATACCTCAAACATTATGCCATCCAAAGCCATAGCATTGCTTGCTTCCTCAACAGACCTCATTTCCACGAAAGCAAACTTTTTCTCATAGTTTATATATACATTCACAACAGCATCACCTGCAACAATTGCAATGAAAAGGTTATTACCGTTGGCATCATAAATCCAAATCTACAGAATATAAGAATATAAGCACTCACCAGGTCCTGCTGTGTTTCCACCGATAGCAGACATTACTTGACTGAAAAACATTGCAACTGACTGCATATAAATTCATAAGAGATATAAGAATGCAGTATCATGAAATAAGACATGAAAACATCATGCACAAAATGTTACAAAACATTTAAGTTCACATCATCATTTATTATTGCAATAAGAAATCATCATGCGAGATATCTACAATTCTTAAAAAAAAAAAAACTAGAATCATATAGATTCAATATGTAATTAATCAATTATTTGGAAAAAAAATGCACTTAATGTGCAACGCATCCTCTAAGCAGTCAAAGATAAATCTTTAAAATGCACTTTCAGACAAATTTGCTACTCCATGCATTAACACCAACCCCTGCCGTGCACTGTAGCTAAGAAAGAAATTAGCATAACCATAGAGACACGCTAAGTGGACAAATCCAGACAATGATGCAATGAACTAAAACAAAGCTTCCATTCCTTCCAAACACTGCCAAAAGTCAAAGACTGAAGTATAAACATGAGCATCCGTATGCAATGCATGGTAGAATAATTATTTAGTAAGTCCAATTAGTTCAACAACAGGCATCCAGCTTTATGAGAGGAATTGTAGCCTTCTGAGAGAGTTCTGTTTGTTTCCGATTTTCAAAAAACAATGGGTTTGTTTCAAGAAATTAAATTTACTCTTGGAGGTACTAAACATCATACCAAGCGGTAGCATCCATAAATATTGCAAAATAATTTGTTACCAAATACTAGTTAACAATATTATAAATTATAAAATTCCAACATAATAAATTGAAGGAAGAATAACGAATCTATAATTTCAAACATAAATTTGCATCATCGTAGTCATATGCTAAATTGATGTTAATCTTCAGAAAATGAACATATAAAATATTTATCACTGCAAAACAAGTTAAAATTTACATTTTGCATTATTTAATGACGGCCAATAAATTATAAGATGAAAAATGATATCATTATTATATTAGTTACTAATAAAACTAACATCAATTAACAGTAGTTCCATTTTTATTTTATCCAACTTTACCTTAATTTTTTTAATTGAAAAGGGACATAATTAAACAACATTTCAAAATTATCATAATGTTATCATATTCAAAAATGTTTCAGAAATTTTAATGTCATTTAAAATAATGCTCACTAAAAATTATAATTTACCCAAATTTTTATCATTCAACAACTATATTTATTCGTTTGCAGTAACAAAGGAATAAAAGACATTTGTTTTCACATAGAATACTCCTAGGGCTGTCAAATCTAGTCACGGATCGAGTTTGAGTCCAACCTAAAACTAACTCAGCATTTTTCGACCCAACCTAAACCCAACCTGTTTTTAAAAGCAGGTCAATTTTTCGGACCCGAACCCAACTCACCTCGGGTGCGGGTCAACCTGACCTGACCCGTAAGTCTCCCGCCGTTCATGCGTTTATTCGGCCAAATCTCATAAATAAGCCGTCGTCGGCCTCCGTTCGTGCGCTTATTCAGCCAAATCCTAGCGGCATGACAGCAAGCAGCGGCAAGGCAGCGGACGAGTCACGCGACGTCGATGCAGGCAAACAGGCAGACATGACTCGATGCTATGTGGTCAGCAAAAGTGGTCGATGGGGGTGGTGAGCTTGTGGCAATAGTGGGCAACAGTGGCCAATCGCAGCAGCACATGATATCACTTTACACAAGTAGCGCATTTGAAATTTACTCAAATTGGACGAATTCTAATACATTGAAAATGAACTAGAGAACGAATTCCAAATTTACTTCAAAAAAACTTTGCATTTATGAAAGTCTTGAATTAAATTGGACATTTATTAATAGTTGGGGGACTATTTTGAGCTTTTACTCTATCTTAAAATATAAACTTAAATATAAAGTATTGATGAAATGCGAGTAAACATATAATGGACATACAAAAAAATAAATTAAAAAGGAAAATGGCGATCAAAATAAACTCGGCAAATGTCTAACCTGCTCATTAGCAGTAGCAGAGAGACTGCCAACATAAACACGACGAGCATGCCGCGTAGCCTGAGAATAACAAGATTTTTTTTTAAACATCACATTATTGATAAATGAAGTGGAAAATAGAGAAATTGGAGATCAAACCTGTTGTGTCATAGCTTGCACAGGCACCAATGGAAGAGTAGGGAACTGAACCTAATCACAAGCAAAGAAACAGGTCGATACAATATTAACCAAAATAAAATCAAGGATAAACGATAGACATGCACCTGTCCACCCGCCAAAGGAAAAATATTGGGAAGCATTCCAGGAACAGCAGCTGTTGTCCCAGGTACCTGGCCTGTAAAACAAAATTAGGCTACAAAAAAACAAACATTTGAATACATTAGCAAAAATTTTTGCACGGCATCATCTTTTCCTCACGGATGAGCGGTACGCCCAGAGCTCCCTATGACATTATCACAAAGAAAAGCAACATATCACTTCAAATTTCATGAGAAAATATTTGCAAGACTACCAAAAAAGAAATATTTCTAGTTTGAAGACGAACAAGACATCAAATAGGTGCTGATTCCTCCGTGTACATCAAATCTACAGTAGTCAGCTCGCAACCATTGGCAGTAGAGGGGCGAATGACCCAAATTTGCCTTATCAAAGCAACGTTATACATAGAACAAAAAAATAAAACAGCAAAACAAGAACAACCAATAGAAATAACCTCAGCTTCCGAGTAAAGTTGCTGATCAAAAAGGAGAAAGAAAGTAACGTGAGTCATCCACAAGTAGAAAAATGGATGGAATGACAGCTTACCCGATAAAAAGCATGCATAATCACACAATTCTGCGGCAGTTACCAGAAAATGTCAACATGAAAAAAGAAGCCAAAAAAGTAATACATACCTGCAACAGTGACACTGGGCATCATGACTGGTGGTGGCATGTCGAACCCACTGATGCGTTTACTGCACCAAAAAAGAGCATTAAAAGTTCAAATGGACAAAGAAACAATAATGTATGATATATTAAGAGAAAATATCCTCATACAAATAAGAAAAGATGGTCAACAAACAATGACAAAGAATAGACTACTTTGAAACCTAATGCAGAAAATAAACCAATACGACTTGAACACCAAAAATCAGCAAACAAATAGCAAATTTCAGCAAACCAATAATTTTTTTATTGATAGGAAAACAAATACGAACAAGCAAGATATAATGGTCCTCTTTCAAGAGGACCTTCTCTCCCAAATTCTAGATGCTGCTAGAATCCCTCAAAAAAATAGTCGGCAGCAAACACTCACAGAACTCATCAATAGCATGCTCCTAAAACCCTAGACAACTCCCCCTTAAATAGCCCTAGAACACAATAACATAAATAGAACATTCCTAAATAATTTAAATATAATTAAGAAAACCTTCCAAAATAAATTAAATATAATTTAGGAAACATTCCTAAACAATTAAACATAATTTAGAAAACCTTCATAAACAATATAAACATAATTAGAAAACCTTCATAAACAATTCCCCCTTAATTAGGAACCTTCATAAACAACTCCCCTTGATTAAAAACCTTCTAAATAGCTTCCCTTAGGCCCTCCTGGCATATCATAAACCAAACTTAACCCAACTAAAACTAGAAAAAAGCATTTCTTGCACACAAGGTGCACATTCCATATTTAGCATACAAGGACACACAATTTGTATACTCAAGCATGAACCTACATTTGACTACTTCGAACGATCATGACTAGACTCGGGTCCAACTAGAAAGTTTTACCGTATGAATTAGAAAGTTTGAGTGGTTCACCATATGAATTAGAAAGTTATATTAGCCAACAATACATTATATTTTTGAGTGGTTCACCCTATGAATTAGAAAGTTTTATTAGCAAACATGCCTCCTGATCCAACCTATGAACCCAAATCTAAAATCATGACTAGACCAGGTCAAGATTGAACGAGGACTAAGGTCTACGACCATTTTGTCCTACGGGATAGTGTGATCGTACTCTTTGCATTCGAACCACACGAGCGGAACCCTTTCGGAGACCCACAGACTAGATTGACAAATAAATTTATATAGGTAATTATTTCATAACACTTCTTTTATTAGATAGGAATTCGTTTTGGGATAATCTTGTTTTAAATTTTGAATTATCAAATAATCATCAAGTCCTCAAATCATATAATTACTTGTTCGTTCATATTTAAAGAGCAAAATCATTAACATGATGCGATTCTAGATAGACATTGATAAATTTCAATAGGACATCAAAATAATAGGATCTAGAGGGAACAAGGATGCATTAAAGGATGATATTTGTATAAAAAAATATCTAAGATCATTGAACCAAACCAAAAAAAAAACATGACTAACTTTGTAAACAAACTACAATAAGCATATAAATTTATAAAAGAAATAATATTTTTTCATGAATAGGAGTCCTTACCTCTTTGACCTTGAACGAGACCGAGACCTTGACCTGTGTCTGGATCTATCCCTTGATCTTGATCGGGATACATGTCTACGATGTCGTTCACTCTCTCTGCCATAATCCGTAGTCATAAACAAATACAAGTAAAAATATAACACAACTTATAAGCATGTATAATTTACTTGAAAAAAGTTAGAAGCAACAATGTGACAAGGAAATGCCACTTAATAAGTGATGACGCATCATCTGAATCCTCATCAAATGTTCTCTCTCTTACAATTATAATGGTTCATTGTGTTGTAATGTTACAGCAAAAATACGAGCACAACAAACTGATCAAAAACGTAATTAGAGATATGAAAGGTTGCTAAACAATGTAGAGGAAGAAGATAAACACAAAAAAATCTAGTAATTAGCGGCTATCAAAAGGATTCAGTTACATATTATTAATTATTCTAATATTTGGATATGAACAAAGTTTCCATAAAACACAAAAAAATATTTTTCAAAGAATTTATAACATAAATTGTATCGGATGTAATGCCATATAAGAATGGTATCGACAAATCACACCTCATATATCAAGCATGAAGCTAGTTACCAAGGAAACTTGAGTTTTCATTTTAGATATACATGTGGAACAAGACTACAGCAAGGTATTTCATCCCTTGAATTAAGATTTTGGATATACATGCTATTTTAAGTTAACACCGCCCTAGGCAATTCATCAGCCACCATAGGTAATTCATCCCCTCGATCTATGAGTTTTTCCTTTGATAATGCACTTGTTGTTATTATTGTTATTATTGGTATTATTAATAGTAGTATTATAGAATGCAATGGACTAGTAGCAGAGTAATATATATAAACCCTTGATATGGAAATTGAGCCAAGGAAATATTCATTGCCTGATGCTACAGATTGCAATAAAAATATATATCAATATCAATCAATCGTTAATATAAACCCTACTACTACTACAACAACAATACAAACAAAATTATATGCTCATATCGACGCCAAGGACTAGAGTAGAAACATAAGGCTGCAATGGACAATGAAAAATCTATGGTGCTAGAGGCAAGCGTACAGAGTCAACATCATCATGGTCACCTTATCGATGAGATGGCGATGGTAATGATGGTTATGAGAAAGAAAGGCCAACTCTAATCTGACTATTTACGATTCTCTTTGTGGCAAAGGATTGGAACTAGGATTTTAGAGGATGAAAAAGTAATTGCCTTTTATTTCCAAGAGAGAAGCTAGATTTTCCTCCACTTATAAAGTTAATGGGTTGAGACATTTAGAAGATCACCATAATTTTTTCCCTCTTATCCATTTTATTACATGGATGTTCTAACTATACATTTGCAAGAGGATGTACCTTGGTGTATGCTTTTTGCTGATGATATTCTTCTTGTTGATAAGACTAGAGAGGGAGTTGAAAGTAAACTTTAATTATGGAGGTCAACATTAGAGACTAAAGGTTTTCGCTTGAGTAGATCTAGAACGGAATATATGGAGTGTAATTTTAGTAGTAATAGACCTAGTGAGGGGATTGTGACTTTGGGCAATCAAGTCATTAATAAGAGTACACGTTTTAGATATCTTGGGTCTATTGTTCAGAGTGATGGTGAAATAGATGGGGATATTATCAGCAGAATTCAAGTTGGATGGTTGAAGTGGAGGAATGCATCAGGCTTGTTGTGTGATAGAAAAGTACCCCTCAAACTTAAGGGAAAATTCTATAAGATGGTAGTGAGGCCTGCAATGCTTTATGGTGCTGAATGTTGGCCATTAAAAGAGAAGCATAATACTAAGTTAAGTGTGGCAGAGATGAGGATGCTCAGGTGGATGAGTGGCTTTACCCTTAGAGATAGGATATGAAATGAGCATATACGTGAAAAGGTTGGAGTAGCTCCAATAGAAGAAAAGATTAGAGAAAGTCGCCTTAGATGGTTTGGTCACATAAAACGGCGGCCTTCCAATGACCCGGTTAGGAGAGTAGAGGTATTAGATTTGACTTAAGTTAAGAAAGGTAGAGGCAGACCTAAAAAGATTTGGTTAGAAAATATTAAGAATGACCTTTCTTTATTAGATTTAAACGAGAATTTGACCTTTAATAGGACACAATGAAAAAAAAGGATTCATGTAGCCGACCCCACGTAGTGGGATAAAGGCTTGATGCTGTTGTGGTTGTTGTATCCATTTTATTACAAAAAAAAAAAACATGGAGGTGTTGTTTCATATTGATTTTTTTTAATGCAAGAATTACCAATCTGAAAGATAGGTCCCACTAGAGAAGCGAATATAAGAAATTATAATACTCATTCCACAGCTTCACGAATATCATCATTCAAGCTAAAGAGTATATATATATATATATATATATATATATATTGAACATTAACAAGTATAAGAAGTTGAGAAGTAACATCAAAATTTTTTATTATCAAAGATTTGCATCAAGGATCAACATTAAGTCCATATTATTTTATATTAGTGATATAGATACTTACAAAAGAGGATGTGTTTTTGCAAATTATATGAATTTAATTTGAGAAACACCCATTAAAGAAAGCAAATTGGAATAATAAATAAAATATTTATAAGAAATGGGCCTTTGAATCTGCAAGATAAATGATGAGTATATAATATTCAATTTTATTGACTATGCTTTTTTATAATTACCCTTCATGACTATTATAATGTGTTATTTAGGTGTGATAAATTTAAGTACCCCAAACCCATACTTGTCAACGGCGAATGACGCACCACGACACAAAGTTTCCCGAACATCGCCCGTTCACGAAACGGACTTCGCTGTTGTGTTCAAAACATCGAGAATACTAAAAAATGACTATAATATTGCATGGGCCTATGCACAAATAAAAAGTAAAAATGACACGAGTTTCGAGGTGATAGTATGGAAAATGATGTGCACGAAGTGAGAAAATATGTGAGGATTCATTTCACATATCATTTTATTATTTATTTTAATACTATTTCAGTTAAAATTATAATAAAAAATTAATCAAAATCTAATATTATCATTTGAATAACAATAAAAAAGCGTATCATCTAATCCAATCAACTCTCCTGCTGCCATATCCTCTGCATTTCGGCACCTCAGTCTTTCTCGTCACTCTGTCAGCTGCGCATCATATCTGCAAATAAAAAAAATGTATCGCTCACTTTTCCCCTCTACCTTATGCTCTTAGCCATACCTTTTCGCCTCACTCCAGCATCCAAACTCATTGCCTCCATTCCTCTGTTCCTGCATGCAACCAGCCCCATACACAACTCTCATCTCCATCCTCCTGCTCTTCAGTCCCTCTTGTGCACAACAGCAGCTCCAACGGCCTCTCCACCACCCAAGACTCACAACAGCATTCTCCCTTTTCGTCCCCTCGCTCTCCGGCCTCCTCTCTTCCCTTGCCGTGAAGCCCATCCCCAGCTCCCTGTTTCCTCCAGCCTTCTTTCTCCACCCAGCAGGCCAAGCCACATTTCCCACTCTGGATTCCATACAAGAACCAAACTCTTCCTCACAACCATAGTTCCCAGCAACCGTCTCCCATTCACGTAGAGAAGCCCACACCTCCAGCTCCTAGTCCAGACCTACACTACCTGCACCACACAGCCACCGAACTCCAGCGTCCACATCCAGTCAAAACAGCCGCACGATCTCCTCTATAGCCACTGTACTGGACCAATCTCCTTGCTACCATCACTTCCTCCATATTACATTCGAACTCCACCCCGCAGCCTTCCTCCTCAACCCTCTGTTCAGGCCAAACAACCCATCTACCTTCCCCTCAACTCAACACAAAACCACTCAAGCCTTCCTCAACCCAACTCACTCCCTATACATATTTCAAAAAATATAAAAAATGCTGTCAGTCATGTGAAAGAATACTATTCTATAAGAAAATATAACTCTTGAAGAAAAAAAGTCAGTGCTTAGAAAATCTCATGCCTACATAAAAAAGTTCAATGGGATGTAAATGTATTTTCATTGTCAAAAAAATTACATATGCAGCTAATCTTGATCTATTGGTTGGGAGCTTTAGCTACCAACCAAGAGGATCTTGAGCTCAAATATTACATATATAATATACGTATGAGTTTGCCTTAATTGGCCTAAATATCCAAAAAAATAATAATTACATATGATACCTGAATAAGTTCAAAGCCTGACTCATTGCATAAGTTCACCCAATCCTTTGCCCAGATACCAAACTCAATATGGAGTTCAGTAATGCATTTCTAAATAATTACTAGGGAAAAGAAGAGTATATAAAAATTCTTCAGGGTCTTAAACCCCCAAAAAAAGCCAACAATGTTTGCAGTCTCCCCAAATAATGGTTTGACAATTTACAATAGTGAAGACTGGGTTTTTAAGCATTTATTAGATCGTATCATGTTTACCAAATTCTCATTCAAAAGGAAAATGGACATCCTCATTGAATATGTAGAATCAGGGGTGACAATGAATAAATGAATAACCTGAAGGATCTTCTTGCTCAAGCTTTGTCTACGACAGCTTTTTTACCTGCTTTTGTGCCAAGGTAAGTGGACAAAAAATAAAAAAATGTCCATGTCGATGATAATTTTTTATTGTTTTTCTAAAATTTTGCCTTAGAAAAACTGGTTTTGAAAAAGCGTAATAGAAACCGCGGTTAAAAAGTACCTTATCATAGTAAAAGAAAACTATTATCCATCCACCCCAAATGAAGCGTAAGGATTAAACACTTAAGTCACCTCAAATAATTTCATAGGATGGAAGTGATGTCATCAATGAAAGATATTTCCATTAACAAATAAAAGCACATTCTAGATCTTAAAAAAGAAATAGGGATTCTGATAGGAAACACTTGTAAATCTCAAATATTTCCAATCAATATTCATAAAACATCAAGAATTCTCCACCAAAATTCACACAAAAACAGGAAAACAGTAGATAATTTGTATTATATGATGAAAAGGAAACGGAAAATAGCAAGATACAATTGATCCTCTATTCGAGAAGAGGATCGATCTCTCCCAAATCTCTAGATGCCGCTAGAGCCCAAAAGAAAACCTAAATCTAAGATATCTCAATTTTCAGCCAA